TTTCTACGAGTACCTATGCCAGCCTCAGCGTACCCTAACCAAAACATACACAACTATTTTAATTAAAAACATTGGAGAGGGCGAGCTTTTCTTACTAGCGAAAACCATATCAAACATCGACTTTTCTGCGTCTGTATTAACGCCCTCAATATATCTGGTCAAAACTATACGTCTTTATTGGGTTGTGCAATCACTTTTTATAACTATAGATACCTACGTACGTTCATATTCATTCATAAAACTCCAAACTTTCAATTGTTTTCTTGTGCATACAGGGACATTAATTAGTCGTAGAAAGGACACTTGATTGAAAAGTAAGTATATTTGCTAGCTATCTTAAAAATAGACTCCAGTTTGTTTAAGTGCAAGGCTGGGAATTGGTGGAGTACTATACTAGATCAGGCGTGAGTCAAGGAACCTCCTTAGGTCCGACTCTATTTTTGCTACTGATCGACGACCTGTCGCATACTACTCGAGGTGCTCAGTGTTTCTTCTTTGCCGATGAGCTCAAACTTTTTCTAAGAGTACGAGATAGCGCTGACATAGCTGCATTTCTGACAGATATTGATGTCGATTCTGGCATGATTCTCTAAAGCTAAACTTAAATTTGACAACAGTGCATCCTTGTCCTCCTCTATACAGAATGAAAAGGTGAGACTGACCTTAAATTTAGTTTTAAGTTTAGAGAATCACGCCAGAATTGACACCAGTGTTGCTATATTCCATTGGAGCCAGACAAACCATTTGCCTTTTAATAACGCCAAATGCAAAGTTATCACTTACACTCGTATACGGTTTCAAATATTTTGCAGACTATAAACTATCAGATACCAGCATAGATAGAAAGAATTACTGATGTTCGTGGTTTTGGGCAGTAAGTTAGACTTTCATAAACATGTGACGGAAATGTGCAAGGCAAACAAATTTTTTGGTTTTATCTATAGGTAGCTATTTATTTGACAACATCGCTCGTGGCTGTGGCGAAGGTGTATGCACAACGCCTCAGGTGCGGTCGCAGCCTGAAATTTTGGAGGGGGTCACTCACTACACTAATAAAAAATAGGTATCTGGAATATTATTCCACAAGACACTTTTTGACACAAGATTTTTCAATTTCACCTTAGATTTTGGGGGGGTCATGTCCCCCTGTGACCTCGGACCGCGCCTGCAACGCCTACGTTCGTAGCAAACTAGAATACGCAGCTTTAGTCTGGGACCCTCACGAGGAGAAATATGCTGTCATGGTTGAGCGGGTTCAGCGTAAATTGGGGCGTTGCCGTTGGCTTCATAATGGGTATTATCCTTACTTATTTTTACTCTATTTTTATTGGAGGTATGGTGGCGTTGGATACACTTTCTTACGAAAGAAAGATGTTGTTACTTAGTACTCATTTCATTCTAGTCATCCACCATAAGGTATACTCTGAAGTAGTTTCTAAGGTAGGCTGATACTCTCACGAATACCACAAACTGAGGCAAGAACGGTGGCCCCGCGCTGCCGTCCGCAGCCTCTACGAAAGCCTGTCACGCGCACCGTGTATATGCCCCAAATGTGCCTACCGTTCGCGCGCTAAATTTGATTAGGAACATGCTCATTCAATGTCCTGATATTGACATGTTTGCTGCTGAAATTGAATATACCTATATGTAATGTAACGAGAAAACATTTAATATTAGAATGAAATAAATTTTATTCGACCCAGTTTTTTTTAATTTTTACGTATCTTATTAATAATAATCCGAATCCCATATTTTAACTTGTAACAAAACTTAATTGCATTGATTTGCTAGTATGTTGGAAGGGCACTTCTGTAAATTAGCATGTAAAATGGTCGAAATAAATAAATAACTTCGTTGGGTGCAACACTGTTTACCCACAGGCCTGTTTTTGGCGGGATTTAATCGAGTGCGGTTGTTTTATTTTAATTTAATTCTGAAATTCGTTCATAGTGGATATTGTGAAATAAAATTGGTGTGATTTTGTGTTACAACCATCTGTGCAACTGAAGAATTAGTGTAATCTTTAAAATATACGCTATTCCGGTCACGTGGATGTGAGATCTTTATTGTAGTGTTGACTACCTCACAGCTGCTTATCGAAAAAACCAACTCGATACATTTAGTACCAAACACAACACAACACACCAAGAAACATTACATAGAATCAATCTAGAAGATTCAAACAGATGCAGATACTGGTGTCGATTCTGGCGTGTTACTCTCTAAACTTAAAACTAAATTTAACATCAATCTCTCCTTTTCATTCCGTATAGAGAATGACAAGGATACACTATTGTCAAATTTAAGTTTAGGTTTAGAGAATCGTCTCAGAATTGACACCACTGTTATACAAATAATGTTGAATCCTTGTAACATCTTATCTTGGACTGCCCTGCTTTTCATATACAGAGGATGTTACTAATGGCTTACTTCAGATCTAAAACTGCAGCATTCCCAGCCAATTGCTATCTATCTTAAAAAACACAAATACATACCCTACCCTATATAATTACGTGATTAATACCTTTGAAGATATATAAATAAAACAAAGAAGCTAGAGATACTAATGAAAGGCCGAAATGGTGAAAACTACGGCCGTAAAACATGAATTAAAAAAAAACAAGAAACATTAGGATGTGCCTCACATTCTAATGTAAAAAAAAGGAGATTGGGATTTGTATTTATTTAAACGACTGAAGGACTTGTATCCATGGTTATGAATAATTAAAAAAAAATAGACGAGACAATTTCCATCTGTCAGAATAACCTTACTTTTCGACGAGTTTTGTTTATCATTATTCATAAATTGGACGTAGTTACGCGAAAACGTTCCAACCCACAGCGACCCCATTTTGAGATAAACGCAATTTTGTGTTTTAGCGGTACACTTTTTCCCTGTTATTATTTCAGGCAAATACTATTGGTGTTACTGTGGAATGCCAAATTGGTTATTGAATGATATGCATATTTTTTGTAAATACATAATACAAGGGGCATATAAATAGGTAAAACGAGTTTGAAACGTTTTCGCTAAATTTAATTTTGTATGAACCTTGTTAAATAGCAATTATGCATAAACGTTCCAGAACGAATTTAAGTGTATTATTTTATAAATATATCTAAAATAAATATGTAAAATAATAAATAACAATGAGGAACATACAAAAACAACAAAAATTTGAAAATGTATTACAAAAAAAATAGAACGTGATCTTTTGAGCTTTGAACCTATGCCAATTTGCTGATATGGTTCCAAAAGTTATCAAAAACTTATATTATAAACATTCAATTTTCATCATCGTATTCTATGATCTCGAAGTCCGGAACTCCACCAAACCCATCAACATCATCAGTGCTTCTTCAGAACAGAAGGCAATCCACTTCCTGTGCACCTCTTCCTACCTCTCCTTCTACCAATACATAACAATGCCCAGTATCATTAGATGCACTATGGATACCACTATTGTAGAACTAAGTAAAAAAGTTAAACCTCTTCAAGTTTACAAAATGACAAAGACTGATTTTATAGTACAACTAAACTGGAAAAGAAGATTATCAATAGGAAGAAGTTTACAGACTCATCTAAAGTTAGTTGGCTACATACAAAAGAAATTAAGTTGGATAAAGATATATTTTTTTCTATTTTTATGCGGTCTACGATGGAAGACGATTTCAATGAGTTGAAAATTGATAAAAGAATAAAACGAGAACTGCAATACATAAAAGAATCTGATTTTTGCTTATTGTGGCCTAACGACAAACCGATTGCTCCAGCGAAATTAGTGGACTTACAATCCATGTACCACTACATACCCGAGGATTGCCTTCAATTTTATAGAACGCTTCAAAGTTCTGAAGAAGCACTGATGATGTTGATGGGTTTGGTGGAGTTCCGGACTTCGAGATCATAGAATACGATGATGAAAATTGAATGTTTATAATATAAGTTTTTGATAACTTTTGGAACCATATCAGCAAATTTTTGGCATAGGTTCTAAACTCAAAAGATCACGTTCTATTTTTTTGTAATACATTTTCAAATATTTTTTTTGTTGTTTTTGTATGTTCCTCATTGTTATTTATTATTTTACATATTTCTTTTTGGTTTATTTTTATAAAATAATACACTTAAATTCGTTTTGGAAAGTTTATGCATAATTGCTATTTAACAAGGTTCATACAAAATTAATTTAGCAAAAACATTTCAAACTCGTTTTACCTATTTATATGCCCCTTGTATTATGTATTTACAAAAAATATGCATATCATTCAATAATCAGTTTGGCATTCCATAGTTAAACCAATAGTATTTGCCTGAAATAATTACAGGGAAAAAGTGTGTAAATTGCGTTTATCTCAAATTGGGGTTGCTGTGGGTTGGATCATTTTCTCGTTACTACGTCCAAATATACCATAGTTATTTATTTTGGTAAAAAATATCTTTTTCTCTAGAACATACTTAATAGCAAAAATGGATCAAGTATATGTGGATTGTTTATAGCAAAAAATTAGAAAATAATATATTATAATAAAAGGTTTCAATTTATTTAGAACAGTGTTCGCAGCTTAAAAAAACAGTATGGATTAATCTAAAAGGTTTCAAATTACATGGAACATTTTTGCAGAAATAAAAAATGTATAAAGATTTTGCAAAAACGTTCCAACCCACATGGATCATTTAAGAAACCATTAAATGTGCGTTTTATGAATTTAGTATAATGTTCCAAGACAAGTGGAACATTATAACGATATGTTATTCTATTAAGAGTTTTTAACAATATGTTTCAGTATGCATGTAATGTTTTTACTTTATTTTGAGTACACGTCCTTGGCATAATGGTGGGTTGGAACATTTGGGTTAAACTTTATTGATGAAACTAACTTAAAAATACTAGCATCTTTGTGTGCACATGATGTAATATGTCAAAAATAGTACCCTGGTTATGGTAACTCATTTTCGAGTGACTTGTGGGTTGGAACGTTTTCGCGTAACTACGTCCAATTATAATATTAATTAGTGCTCTTTAGTGAGTTATTAAGTCAAATACCTAATCTAAGTAAATGTGTTGAAAAATCCATTTAGCGAATTATTGCGTGGGAATTTAGAGGTAAAGAATTTGTTTACTTTTGCTGAAAGTTCGTTTGAATCAGACCTATCATAGAGATCATGCCGGTGTTCATAACACGTGCGCACGAACAATTAACATAAAATACTCGTGTGCCCGTGATCATATCTAGAAACAGACATCACTAAACGGTGCACTGCGTTGCTTTTTACAGATACGCTGTAATAAATTACCAAAATGAACACCGAGAAGCTGAAGAAACTTCAATCACAAGTGCGCATTGGGGGCAAAGGCACACCACGGCGCAAGAAGAAGGTTGTGCACGCAACTGCAGCCACAGATGACAAGAAATTGCAGTCATCCTTAAAAAAGTTATCAGTGAACACTATTCCTGGTATTGAAGAAGTTAATATGATAAAAGATGACGGCACAGTAATACATTTCAATAACCCAAAAGCACAAGCCTCTCTCGCGGCGAACACTTTCGCTATTACCGGACATGGAGAGAACAAACAAATCGCTGAAATGCTTCCGGGTATCCTGAGTCAGCTAGGACCTGAGGGTTTGAACCAGTTGAAAAGGTTGGCATCAAGTGTGGTCGCGCCAAAGCCTCTGGAGGAGGATGACGAAGTACCTAACCTAGTAGGTAATTTCGATGAAGCCTCTAAACAAGAGGCTAAGGCAGTTATAATTGAAGAAAAGAGAGATGAAATGAAGGAAGAAAAAGAGGTCAAGGAAGTAAAGAATGAGCCAGAAATCAAAGCTGCCGATAAGAAAAATGACTAAGCAGTATTGAACAAAGTGGTCTAGTTTTTAATTTTGCTCACCTAACGAAATGATAGAAAGTTGGGGTTTCCAAAGCCATTTGAATTTGACAGGTTCAAAAGTTATTTGATTTATAGATTTTAACCTGTTTTTGTTTTCCTTAAATAAATGTATTTCTAGTACTGTTTCACATTTATTTTAGTGTCATGAATTCATTATGTTCTGATCACCATATGATTATAGATACTTGTGACTTTGGAAATCCTATTTGAGCTGTCTCATCTCTCTCTATATGTATAGTTTCTGTCTCATATGCCATGCAACAATTTAGTTTTAAACAACAACATAACATGAAATAATGTTTTCTCTTTACAAGCTTATATTGTTATAATAATAGTTGGGGTATTGGCAAAAGGATGTGTAATTGTACAAATTCTATTTCATAGATATACTATAGTCGCGGCATACTATGATGGCTGTTTTGACAGTCAATTTGTTATTGAAAAAACCAATAACATAAAATCAGTTGCTAGTCTCTAGTTTTTGTTAACCAATATTGCAAGCAATAGCTGATAATAAAGACTGAATACAAAAAAAATATAAATGTTTACTTTCTTTCGGAGATCCTATATGCAGCTGTGGTATTGATGTAATTTTAATTAATACATATTCATAGTTCTATGTTGAATAAGTAGCCTGTGATTATATGTTTATGATTTAACATTTCTTAATGATAATTTTAATCCCTCAATGATTCTGTCAAATGGTAGTGTTTTAAGTAAAAAATGATATTAAATTTAATAGATTGAAACTTGAAAAGATTGGTGTAACCATATAGACCATAAAATAATATAGCTTTGTAAAATGTTATTTCTTTACCCTAAAATTACTGATTCAATAAATTCTATCACAGTATGTCACTAATGACAACAAAGAACAGTAATTTGTTTTTGAAATTGAGAACTAATTTTTAAGAAACTTCCTGGGTGTAAAAATAGCAAAGAAGCCATCATAGCATGCCCCGAATATAAGTTACAACAATAAGCCAGTTACATTCCTGCTGCATGGGTAATCTAGGCCCTAGATTGTTGGATGTAAGAGTAAAGCAGGCAGGGTAAATTTTCTAGATTGGCCATGCAGCAGGGCAACAGGCGCGATATCATCCTTAATCCTTAGATTGTCCGGCCGCCCTGCACTTTGCAAGAAAATGTTAAGCTCATAATTTACCCTAAATATGAAAGCGTGCATGAGCTATCGAGATATTAAAATAATTGACTTCACAAAAAATTGGCAAAAAGTTTATTATAATTATTTAGAATATTTTTGAAAATTAATCTTAAGGTAAATAGTAGAGAGCTACACTTTCACCTAGTTTGATAGAAAAATTATTTGTTTTCAAAAATATTAAAAATGAAGAAAATAAAACACTTATTTACAATGTTTTTTTTTGTTTACATAAAATTTCTGTTAAAATTTTCATAGATATAAACATCTAGCAATTAAATACTTCAAAAATATATATGTACATACATATATAACTTTAACTGCTATTTTTTCTTTCAAATATTTAATTTGTAAAGGTATTTCATTTGACATTGTGGGTATACCTACAATGCGAAGGGATGGCGCTGCCTTGGAACCTAAGAAAAACTAGAGAAAATTCGACACGGCCATCAGGGCCGCGGTAGCATAATGGTCAGTGAATTTGCCCGGATAGCGACGGGTGCGGGTTCGAATCCCATCTGCTGTCTTCTTTTCGACTTCTAATATTAATTTCACTAAAAATAAAAAAAGTTTTATTATTCACTACTATTCAGCGGCTTAATTAAAAAAAAAATAAGAATAACATTTAGAAATACTTTATTGTATTGGTTTATATTTGCATTCTTACTGTTTCATAACATACAACAGCATACAACCCATTTAACAGACGTAAGAATCAGTTCTCACAGTAAATTTTTTACGTAGATATTATTTAACTTCGCTGGGGCCCATCTTCTGGTGTAAGGATACACCTGAAGATGGGCCCACAGCACAAGTTAGCGATTACGTTTATGTTCATTGTACACACTAATACTACTAGTTTAAAGATACTACTAAACGTAGTATGCTAAGAATCGTAGATGATATTAATTAGACGCGTCAGGCGTCAGGCATTGTCCTAATACAACGCGAATGAGCGATGAAATCATCGTACGAGTCGACGATCAAACATATTGATCTAGAATAGGTGTCCTAATAGGCGAACGCGCGATGCATTCGCGCGACTAAAATGTTTAAAAATCTATTCGCGGGAACTTAGTTCGCGCGAACTCGTAATCAAACCTATTAATGATGAATAGATGTCCTAACTGAAGTTCGCGCGATGATCGCGTCGCGTTGATAGGAAGCGGGGAGAGGGGCACTGCTAACCCGACCAAACTGTGTGTCAATCGTGATCGCGTATTCGCGTTCTATTAGGACACCCAGTTCGCGATCACGCGATGGTCGCATTGTTTAAACGCGCGATGATCGCGTTATCGCGTTGTATTAGGACAATGCCTCATTGTCATTGATAAGAGAACACGAAATGAAGATGCAGCAATGCAAAGAATCCTCTGGCATTTCAATACAATTTTGTAAACAATCATTATTTTGATTTGTACCGATTCAATACTCATGGCAGTAACATTTAATCTTTAATTCATTAAAATTGGTGTACCTACTCTATCAAAAGTTATTACAGTTTAAGGTTTGGTTTAAAACCACACAGACGGAAATGTGATTTCATAGAAATTTTAACTATCAGTAGTGATAATAGATGGCTCTGATTTATACTGTGGCCGTAAGCGCGATCTTCCTGTCGACCTACGCTTGTAAAGTTTCCAGTCAGTAAAAATAAAAATAGAACCAACATAAAAAAAAAACGTCTGATGTAGGTATTTGAAGTTGATACAGTTATGTATTTAACACGGAGATCCTGATAATGAAATTAAAGTTATAGATACCTAATACTTTCGTATTGCCAATTATGAAGCGTGTATGACACACGCTTCTAATTGGCAGGCAATTGCCCGACTTGCATTCAACATGTAAATACTTTCAATTTTTCTAGACAAAAAGCCCTATGTGTGTTTTTAGATAGTACACAAAATACACGGGAACTAATACCGACAAGAAAAACGTGTTATTTAATTCGTAAGTACAGTTTTAAAGAAATTAATGTAAAAGTATTTATTGATTACCTATTTTAACAGTTGCTGACACGGAACAACACACCCTTCGGCCAAAGCTCCTCTTTCAAAAAGTCCGCCAGATAATCAGTCGGCACTCTCACCACAAATGAATTAAAATTCACGTCGTGGCGCGATTCCAACCGCGCCACCCTCAGGGAAAAATTGGTCTTCGTTCGCGATCTCCTCCGCCTTCGTAGTGTATATGTAAGCGGGATACATACAGCAACGTGCACGCGTATGCGTATGCCCCTCACAAGTGATGACAAGCAAAAGATTGGATTATTGCTTCATCATGGCGGAGATGTATGCCAAGACATATACGAAAGTTTGGAAGAAAAGGATAAAAAGGAAGATTTTTTAAAATTTTTGAAAATATTTGAAGATCACTTTGTACCAGTAAGAAACATTACATACGAGAGATATATATTATTTACAAGAAAACAATTGGATAATGAATCATATGAAAATTATTTGACAGCTTTAAGAAATTTGGGAAAAACTTGTGAATTGGGTGAACTACATGATGAGTTGATTAAAGATTTCTTTATATGTGACATAAAAGATGTGAAATTGAGAAAACAATTATTAAGTTCTACAGGTTTAACTATAACAAAGGCTCGGGAAATATGTAGAACGCATGCTGTGATTGATGCAGAAGTGTCAACTATGGAAAAGTACGGTGAACAAATTAAAATAAAAGAAGAACCTCCAGAAATAGACCAACTTACAAAACAAAAAGGATTAAAAAATTATCAGCAATAAGTTAAATGTCAATATTGTGGTTTAAATCATGTATATGGTCGTTGTCCTGCCTTTGGTAAGTTATGTGCAATCTGTCACGGTCCGATTGGGGCGACACCGTACAGATTGCGGCGAGCGGGTTTCCTCTTCTTCCTCTCCACCGTGATGAAACACTCTTCGTCACAATTACGAGCTGCACGAGAGATATTTTGGCTACTCTTCTTTGTCAGTTGAGTGGATTTCCGCTCAGGTTGCGTGACAGCGACGGGTCGGCTGGCGGCTGCAGCTGCGAAACCACGTTTAGGTGTTAACGTGCAGTCGCGTGACGTATCTGGTGTGGCGGAGGAACGAGGCGCGGGGTCTTGCGCGATCACGGCGGCCGGTGACGCACTCGTATACGCCGACTCTAAACTGCCGACAGATGCATTATGCGCCCCGCGACGTGTGTTCGCGTTGGAGGCCTTGGGCGACCTACTTGTACAAGCAACGCTACTTAATATAATCGAGTCGATTTAGTTTTATTCATATTTTTTAATAATATTATTGTTTTGTTTTTTACATAAGAATAACATTGTGAATGCTCATAAGATCAAATAACTTACTATTGTTAACACTGGGCTTTGAACAATTAAGTCATAAAACAAGAAAGATTACTTTTTAAGGGTTGTTGAACTTAAGTATTAGTATCAATTTTGTAACTGAAATATCCGATGTTCCAAAAGGAGCAATAAGTAATACACAACTGCTGTTATTTCTATATTCTCATTTTAAGTGGACTGTATGTCTTTATGGGAAAATAAATAAATTATCTTTGAACCTAATATCTTTGTAAGGGCTAATGCGTGTGGGGCTAATGGGGATTACGCAAAAATCCAAGTGGGAAAAACATGCGTAAGGGGTAACTCGTACGATCTTCACTTGGGCCCGCAACTCACCGACGGTGTTGTTTGATCCATCCAACTTGTCCACGACATCCGCCAGACTTGCATTTAGGAAGTTAATGTCCTTGAGCAACCTGGTGACATAGACGTGGTCGAACGTGACGAGAGGGCTTGTGTAGCTCCTTCGCCACGACTGAAGGCACATCATCTGAAGCCAATTCTTTCAGCAGGGTAACGACGTCCTGCAGACTTTTCTCCGTTCCATCCCTCCGGCGAGATGACATCTGGTCAGCCTTGCCAACGGACCGGAAGAGTAACGCCTTGCCACTGCAAAGGGGCCGTTCAAGTGTTACGTAAGCACTATAGGGGGTCTTCGCTTTGTTTATTTTTGCTGACTAGGGGGAGGAGGGGTACATAATTGTAATAAATCTGCTTACGTAATACTTGAACGGCCCCAAACCTCCTCTTCTTTGAAATTTAATTTGCAGGATGTTAATATCTTCCATTGTATCTATGGCGTTTAAAATAAACGCCAATAACTCGTTAGCTATGAGTTGTTAGTAACTTTGCTACAATCATCTCAGAAAGGATACCAATGTTTCGTATGAACAAAGGAGACAAGGATGAGTTCGAGTGTTATTCTAAAGCTGTTAATGTATATCAATACTATTTATAGGGAAATGTTGTGGGTCTCTTGCCCTATTTGTAAACGAATATCAATACTATTTACAGCAAAATATTGTGGGTCTCTTACCCTATTTGTAAACGAATATCAATACTATTTATAGGGAAATATTGTGGGTCTCTTACCCTATTTGCAAACGAATATCAACACTATTTATAGGGAAATATTGTGGGTCTCTTACCCTATTTGTAGTTCTTTCATAATATATTAACGTTATGTACAGTTTTATTGTGTACACTTCTGTGAGAATGACAAGATGTGTTTATTTCTAAAAGAAAAGGAACCTCAAGAAAAATAATAAACAATTACCTAAAAATACAATCCGTAACCTGAAGGTTAGGTCACCAATTATTGTATTTTTTGTAGATCAATTACTATCTTTTTGTGTTGATCATTTATATATGTGCCAAAGTGAATCTGCTATGAAAAAAGAACGTACTATGTTGACCAACTGTATGTGTAATAAATAACAAGTATAAATCTTATGTGTCCTTTATTCTAAAAAGTTTTTTTAATTTAATTTTTAATGCTAGTCCTAACAATACTACATTCTTCTTATACCATTCTTTATTATATGCTATGTGTGATTTCCAGTTTTTATCTAAAAAAGATTTATAAAATACACTCATTTCATCTGCAGAAAGATTTTCCTTGCCTATTGGCAAGTTTTTTCTAAGATATTCTTCCCGTTCCTGTAAAAACAAAAAAAGGACATTAAATTACTATCTCCAAATAAAAATGAAGACTTGTGAGAATGTTAAGAATATTTTCACTTATAAATTATAGTAAGTACAGTATATTTGCGTCTAAGCACAGCATTTAAAAGAAGGTATTCATTAGACTAAGTCATATTATTTGCATTTCAGAGGCCATTTAATGTCTATACAAGAGATCAGATAATCAGGTGCATATTTAACTTAAGTTATTCTTCACTAACAGAGAGGATGGGGCAATTACTTTTATTAAAAAAAATCGAGATTCCAAGATTGCATAACTAATCAGTTATGTATATTTACTTAAAGTTAAAATTTAATTTCCCTTATGAGTATGTCTGTATGTAAGATGTAATAGAAATGGTGAAGTAATGAATATAAATTAATTTACTCATTAATGTCATTTTACACAATAATTTTATAGTATACACAGGGTAACTGTCATTTGTGTCGATCAGGGTTTATTAAATCTCACAGAGACTTAAATTTTACTTGCCCAGAATTTTTCATTAAAAGGTGCTTTCACTAATAGCCACCATCTCAACTTTAGATAAATATGTATCAGATTATCAATCTCTACTCATAACGTATTTTTGTTAGTTATTTAATTGAAAAGACCCCATTAAAAACTGCTGTTCTGTCATAATTTTTAATAGGCATGATCAACCTACAAGTTGTATAATTTTATTACGGGATCACTTGGTAATATTATAACAAAATACTGTGCAAATTGAGTAACTACTTGCAAAAACAAAAATAACTGTGCAATTTGAGTACTTGTAATAATTGAGTACCTGGAAGAATCTTGAATTATGTTGAGTCCAAAAGTTGTGATGCCATTTCTGCACCTCTGTTCTCATTTCTCTATAAGCCTTTTCCAAGCTTGTTTCATTAGCTGGTTCTTTGAATACAAACTTTCTTAAATTTGTTATTGGATCCGGAGGCCCAACCATATCACTGCATATTTTCTTAGGATTTGGATTAGTTTCTGTTTTTGACGAAGATTTTGTATTTAGCGATCGCTGTAGAATTGGTATTCCAGCTTGCGGCTTCATGGCCACAGAAAGGCGTGAAGACATCATGTTTTATTTACAATTTTTCATTACTTTTAATTAAAGAAATATAATTTTATTTTGGGTTTTGTTCGATTACGGTAGACTTGATTGACATACGTCACTTTTTTTTTGATTAAGTTCTCCCTTTTCAGGGAAGGCAAGGAGAACAATGCCCATACAGCCTAGTCTTAAGTTAAATTATTCTGTTTTTCTTTTTACATTAGAATGCCGGTGTGACGCATTCTAATGTTTCTTGAAGTGTTTGGCACGAAATGTATCGAGCTGGCTTTTTCGATAAGCTTCTGTGAGGTAGTCAATACTACAATAAAATTCTTACGTCCACTTGACCGAATAGCGTATATTTTGACGATTCTACTAATTCTTCAGTTACGTAGACAGTTGTAACACAAAATCACACCAATTTTATTTCACAATATCCACAATGAACGAATTTAAGAATAATTAAAATAAAACGCCAACCACACTCGTTGAAATCCCGCCAAAAACCTTTTTTTTTTTGTTGAAGTTCTCTTGTTTTAGAGAAGGCAAAGGGAACAATGCCCATACAGCCTAGTCTTTAATTAAATTAATCTTCTTTTTGTTTTTACATTAGAATGTCGGTGTGACGCATTCTAATGACATACGTCACGTCGTCTATTTGGTGGCCGCGTGGCCGCAGACCAGGGTTGACATTGAAAAAATTTAAGTTGCCATATTGGTTTGCCATGTTTTGGAATAAAAAAAAAACTGCAAAATTACCAGGCATTTTTTGAAAGCTACAAAAATGTGATAACATATAAGTTCTCCATGTCTATGTCTTAAAAAAACGTAAAGAGTCCCATCAATGCGCTGTTAGCAATACAGCAAGTACGTTCCGTGAGGAAATGAGGCGGCTATACAGCAACGTATAACCGGCATTTGAATATCACAAATATTTTCTATTAAATCAGTTTATAGTAAGAATTAGAATTTATTAGATACCTGTCGAAAAAAGACACTTTACGTACTATAACTATTTTGCATTTTTTTATGAAGCTCTTCGGCATCTTGACTTTGTACCAAGAAGTGCGTCGTATTCAAGCACTTCTTGGTTGGGACACATTTTGAGCGCTCGTGGTGTGTCTAGTGTATTTAATATCGTTGCGTTGGGGTTCTGACCCAAAAATACTGTTGATACTTTTTAACTCTCTAGTACGTAGCCACTTCGAGTATGGTATTTTTTTTGAGTATGTGTCGTCTATGTCATGTAGGTGAATCGGAACCTTGTCTGTTCTCATTGAATATGTTTTGTCTCACTCTCACCCTCGCTCCTCGCTCTCTTGCACCAACATGGCTGGCAAATAAACTGCGTGTGAAGTCAAGACATTGTTTTATTTAAATATTTAAAAGACCCATCATTACTGAAGAAACTAAAACAGTCTACTGTCTCACTGAGCGGTTTTCTTCCATGTAGAAATGCTCGATTCAATGCTCATTTCAATCGAATGCATATTGCTGACTCTTTAAGGTGTACCTATTGTGATTATTTTGATTAAACTATAGATCATATAAAAAATGTGGCTGTCCAGCTTTTAACATTACGATTTGCATTTTCTATAGGATAGCATACAATAAATGACAATCCAGAAGAAATCCGCGCAAGTTTTTGAGGAGGTCATGAGACGTACCTATGATCTGAAAAAATAAATAAATTATACCGAAGTGTTTTTAGATACATTTTATCAACTCTCTCTATGAAGTCTATCAATGAAGAAAACAACTATTTCACAAATGATAAGGCTGTATGGCTTGTCTTTGCCTATCTTAAAGGTTGAAAATAATGAAAAAAATTAAGGAGTTTTTGGCGCGATTTCTTTGAGTGCGATTGGCGTCTTTTAAGTTAATTATACTTAAATTCGTTCATAGTGGATATTTTGTGTGTTTACAACCGTCTGCGCAACTGAAGAATTAGCGGAATCTTTAAAATATAAGTTATTCCGGTTAAGTGGATCTGAGAACTTAATTGTAATGTTAGCTACCTCACAGAAGGTTATCGAATAAGTTAACTCGATACATTTCGTGCCAAACATTTCAAGAAACATTAAAATGCGTCACACCTACATTTCATTCTAATATAAAAAAAAGATGGTTAATATGACTTAAAATTAAGCTGTATGGGCATTACTCTCTTTCTCTTCCCTAAAAAGGGAATCTTAAAAAAAATTGAAATGACAATTTTTTACTGTCAATGTCATTTTATTCCCCACCAGGCTGAATTATGTAAACGGGCGGGTTTGAAAATCTGAGAATCGGTGTAAAACCTACCCATTTGATTTTGGGTATTCAGTGATATTAGAATTTTATCAAAACTACAATGCCGAAAGACAGGAATAATTCTGAAGACGAATATTCCGCCAAACTGGACATGTGTCTTACTGATGGCATAGTCAAAACTGGTAAGTTACCTGCCTGCATTTCACTATTTGAAAGTGTGTTTATTAGACTGACCTTGCATAGTATAACTCTGAATCTGGATTCCTAATATGAATTCATATTATGTATATTCGGAGCCCACGGAATTGTATAATAATTAAATGCTATCCACGCACAATCCGATTATTTCAAAATAATTATCTGTCAGTATAATTTTACAGAATGAAACTGACAAGTGTTATAAATTCATAATAAGAAATTTTATATTTTGATTTCCAAATGCACTTCTTTTCATACCTTATCCCACACACACAAACGGAATTAGATTATGAATCTGTCCGTTGATATCATCTCAAAATTGTGATTGGAACTTTATACTGTACTTAATTTGAGGTACTTGTGAGACAACTGATCAAACAGAATTTATAAGACTAGTGCTAGTCAAAGCACTTGAATTTAGAGCAGTAATGAACTGCTTGGAAATTTATATTTTGTACATACAATATATAAATTTCCAAGCACGTACATACGTTATAACATTATTTAGTATTACTGTCATAACACTGTAGTAGCTCCTGCCATAGATATTTTCAGATAATCTAGTTTATCTTGTATTATTTTTATTATAGGTGCTCATATTTTTATGATATAATAAAATGTTTAATAGGTAGCGGAGTATTACTTGGAACCTTAACATCAATTCTCTTCTTTCGCCGACGAAGATGGCCAATCATTGCAGGCATGGGAGTGGGCATAGGACTAGCTTATGCTAACTGCGAGTATGAACTCAATCCAAAGAAAAAGAATGCAGCATAAAAGTTACAGCAATTGACTAAGATCTACTTTATCAGGTATAAATTAAATATTATCTTTAAGTAAGCATTTTTGGCATTATCTAATTAAGTAATTGTTTGGTTTCAGGTATGAAAAAGGCATCTCTTCAATCATGGCTGGGTTTGCACATATAATTTTTTAAATGTGGTGCAAATTCTGTAGACATTCATTATACAAAATATAATAGTACTTTTGTTTGTACAAATGATTATTTTGTTGTAATATAATGTGTTTTATTTATTTAGTGTTAAATAAAAAAAACTATTTTTAAAGAACAATATTTAAGTTTATTGTACACCATGTTACTGGAATAAAGATAAAGGATAGATGTAGCATATCTTAATAAGAAAAATTTGTAATTTAAATACATTTCACTATAATTTAAATCTAGTAATAAGAAGACAAAAGCTTTTCTAACAACCCATATGTGGACACCAATTTGGTGTGAAAACAATATTGCAGAGAAGTGTCATTGTTTTACATTACAATTTCAAGACTTAAAAATTAAAATTGAATTTAAAACAGTTAAGTGCTACAATCTAACATTAAAAAAACAATGAGATATATTGTCTTTTAATATAATAATAATTTAAAAAATGCATGTTATACCTTCATTCCCATGAAGTTATAATAAGGTTACAACAAATGTAATAAATTTTTTGAACAGTTCAATATTATTTGTCAAAATAATAAATAAATGTAATTAATACTTTAACCATCTAATTTAAATAACTACATCAACTATCCATTATTTTCTATAATACAAACAGTAATTTGTAAAAATTTGACTAGAATAATATACCCAACCTCATACAACAATAATGACTAACCACCTTATTACAAAATGTGGACTAGTGTTAGATTTCGTTTGAACCTAACACTGTCTTATCTGTAGCAAACAACCGAGTTCTACTTTAGTCAAAGGTTTTTAATAAGAAAGTGGGACTTTAAAATAAAACCAATTTAATATACCAATTTTACTGATAGTTCCTGTATAAACATTTAAAACGCAAAATTAACTGTAAATTTACTAAAAAGCTAATAGGACTTGAAAACTGAGAACATGTTCTTGTATAATGGTGTTAATCTACTATATAAAAATAAGTCGGGTTTTCCTTCCTGACGCTATAACTCCAGAATGCACGAACCGATTTCCACGGTTTTGCATTCGTTGGAAAGGTCTCGGCCTCCGTGAGGTTTATAGCAAAGAAAATTCAGGAAAAATTTCAAAAAAAAAATCTTCTATTAATCACCAAACCAAATGTTACATAAAACGAAGCCATCTGATGGCGAAACGGAGTTCGCCTGGTTTGCTAGTATTTTATGAAAAGAAACTGATATGAAGCAACATTAATGCTCCCCCCCCTCAGATTCGAGTGGTCTAGAGGCTCCAGACGGAGTGGAGACTCCCCCCGTGGGGAGACGCCATCCGCCTGGAATACGTCTAGAGGCACTCGCCAATTCTCGGCTTGCGAGCGGGACCTCCCTTATCATCTCGCCGTCCCCAAACCCACCGGGTTTGTAAAGGACGCTGTAAAGGTCATCTGCGACCAACAGCATACAACATTAATGGTAAATATATATTTCAAATTGGAGGTGTTTATGGTCAGACACTTAGATTACAGAACAAAAGGCAAATGAAGCGTACGGTACACGCAATGCGTGCCGCCAAAGCGAATACGAAGTCAAAAGTAGATGTTTTTTTGATTTTGTGAACAGTTTTTACGATGTATAAACAAGGTGGCACAGTTTTGAACTTAATATTCACGGGACGTATT